ACGTCTGTATCTGCTGAGGGCAGGCCTGTACTTTGATCATGTTGACTGGTTAAGACCAGACCCAGAAGGCAACCAAGTCTGGCTGGTGACCAGCTGGCTGGGAATTGAGAAAGAGTGAAGGGTACAGGGAGAGAGCCAGCAGAGCAGGTGCACAAAGAGGCCAGCATGGGAACAGTGTGGAAAGGGAGGGCAGAATGGATACATCCAGGACATCTAGGCATTCTATCTGTCTGGGAGCCCTGGAAAATCAGCAACATGGAGGCAATATGGAATGGACCTAGAAAAAACACAATTCCAGAGGGAGCCTGGTATTTAAACAGCCACTCCCCCACCAACCCCGCTGCCTCACATCCCCATCACTTCCTCGGATGCCAACTGGTTTCCTCCCGCAGCTTTGGAGAGCAAGCCAGGTCGTAATGGAACCATGAGACAGAAATTAGCGAATTCCTTGAGTTTAAAAAGCAGGCTGATCTGGGAACAAGATGGAATTTGGTTGCAGGCTCACAGAGCCAGTTTCCCTAAATTCCCAGACCAGATTAAAGAGTCCTTGGGCTAGAGAAGGAGGAAAAGAAATATGGACAGGAACTGGGGTACAGGAAAGCCCCCATGCTTGGGATCCAGCCCCGGACACCATCGGTCTAGAGATCAATGGCCCTCACTTCCACTCCCAGGGAACCCTGGCTTGACCCCCACCACAAAAATCTAGCCTCTAATTCTGAAATGCTCCAGCCTGTATAGAGCCCACCTCATGTGAACACACATGAGCTCCTAAAATCAGCACTGGATATAGGAGTGCAGTGAAGACCGAGATGTGGACAAGGGAGTGCCTACCACTGGACAGACTGGGCCTGAGGCAGATGACCAGGGACCTCTCAGTGGCTCATGCATTCTTTTGCTGCCTTGGGAAGCCTGGTGTGGCCCCAGTGGAGGCTACCCTAATGCTCCACAGAGGAGGAAGTCCCTTCTGCATGCACAGGGTTGACACCCGAGTTTCCGGTGGGGCTTCTTCAAGCATACCCATGTTTTAGAACACAAAGATGGACATCAGAAACATTCTCTTTCCTAATTCTTTCCTGGCTGGTCCATGGATGGGTCTGAGCTCCTGGACCAGTAATGGAGCCCATCTCCCAGCCAGATTCACTTAGCAGGAATTTGCCTTCATAAGGGCTATACATTCATTTTTAGGACTGCGATCTGTTAGGTCCCCCAATAATGGGTCCCTGATTAAAGGAGCGAGACTGATATAAAGCGAAAGTCAAGCAAAGCTTTATTTCGCACCAAGCATCAAGAATCAAACTGACCGGCCAGGGCCACGCCTCTTATAGAGAGTGGCGACCCTTCTCTGTTTCACAGACTAGCTTCTAAGGGCAAAGGCCATGCGGTCGGGCCTGGCCATGCACAGGCAGCCAATGAAATTGTAACACATAGAAAAAGCTGCACAGTGATGCTAGGTGACCAACTGAATTACAATTTACCCTATAGTAGACATTTGACTTAACCTATCACCTTGGTTAGAATTGGCGCCCAACAGTCTCCCAAAGGGCGGGGGCCCATACTCCTTGGTAGCTAGGGAGACAGTATGCAATCCCCCACTGATCAGATGTCTCCACCTGGCCTGACCCACCCTTGTATCTGGGCTTTGTTACCTGGAGCAGGTTTCCAGGACTTGGAATCCCCTGGAGGAAGGGAAGCAGGGACAGTTTAAGGGTTAAACAACAAGGTTATTGTTTAACCTTAATGGAAGCCTTTTGCTAAATAGGTCCTTACATGATCCTTTATACCACCTCTCACACACACATAGAAATATGTCTACCGGAAGAGGAGAATTACATTAAAAATGTGAAAAGAAGACTTGAAGCTTAGGAAGACTATTTTTGAATGCTGACAAGGTACACAGACGGTATTAATTTCTGCAATGGAAATTGACTTACTAAGGACAAGCCCATTTTGAGAAAGAATTTCAAATATTGATTATTTAAAGCTTCTTTTACTAGATGAGAAAAGCTTTTACTAGCTTGTCTTATAATCTCAAAGATTCAACTATCTACCGGGGGGATGATTAGCAAATTTCACAAGATATTCCTAAATCACAAAATTATTCACAGGCCTCTCTCTCTATTTAGGGCAGCCTCCATGGGCTTATAAGGTGCAAATTTCCTCACATACAGAGAATACTGCTTTAGTGTCTCAACATTATAACAGATGGGCTATCAAGCAGGTTCTAAGACCAGTGTGCTTTCTTGGGGATAGTCACTGTTGATACAGTTATACCAATGATGACTTTCCACACTAGCAAAGAATCCATCCATGAAGAACAGTCAGAAGGAACAGAAGTATTTTTTAGGGCAATCTCGGGATTTAGGGTGTTTGAAATCCACAAAACCAGACAGATTCAAGGGAAAATGAAAGCTGCAGCCTTCGGAAAGTTAAACCAGAAATGGCTCTTTGATTTCCATGAAGCTCACAAAAGAGAGGATAGCATTTCTGTGAAAATCAAAGAAAAAGAGAAGCAACTTGTGAAGTGAAGATTTAAAAGACTGTTTTGGGGGGTCTTCAGAAGCACCCATGTCCACAGACCAGGAATCGACCAGGGCTGAAGACTATGAGCTCTACGGAGACCCATGTGAAAAGCAAACCCATGTGGCCCAACTGGAATGGGGAATTTGGAGTTTGAATGCAAATGAAAAGTTTAGTCAGGTTTCGGAGTAAGATATGAAAGGACTGGGTTCTCCGGTCTAGATCCACCATGACCATCAGTGAATCCCAATGAAAGGACAGCCTCAGACCCTCTCCCTGGGGCAGGCTGGGGTGACAGGACATAAGTCTGGAGCCTTCGCCTCACTGGATGGGCAGACCCTGCTCTTCAGGGACCCAGAGACAGCTAGATGACATTCAGTCCCTTACACCTCCTCTTGATGCTCATGAACACCCATGCCTGGGGTGTTCTTAGGGTATTTAGACTCTGGGACCCTTGCCCAAATGGCCCTGAGCCTTTCTCTGTGGCCTGCCTGGGTCTTCATCACCTGACTAGAGCATAGACCATGCTGGGTCATCTCTGGCCATGCCTGACCCTACTCCCTAGGCAAGGAGGGATGGCAAGGTCAGGAATCTGCTTCCCCCTACTTCCAACTCAGCAGCTGAATCACCTCATGGTGCCTACAAGGTGATCCCCGCCCCCCACCCTCCCTGTCTTTAGTTTCTGTTCATTCCCGATGCCCTGCGCTTTCAAGTCTCTACATCTTTGATCATAGGCTTCCCTTTCCTTCCTAGAGTTCCTTTTCTCCCTTCTTTGGAAAATGCCAACCTACTCCAGTCCAACTGTAGTGACTGGGTCTCCTCAGCCTGGAGACAGGGGAGCCTCATTGGTGCCAAGGGTGGCAGCTGGAATCCATATTAATTGCTCTGTGTGTGTGACTCTCCTGAAGGGCAGGGAGGATGGCAAAGAGTCTACTTTATATGGTGTTTTCAGAGAATGTCTTTGCTAAAAAAAGATTTCTCGTGCCTTTTCTTCAAGAGGAGAGTTCTGGGCAGTTGGGGCAAGTGGGGAAAGCTCTGAGGAGTTGATTGCTTTCACCACAAGGGGAGTCAAGCTGGGAGCAGCTTTGGGTCCAGGGAGGCTAAACATCTTGTCAGAAGCCACAGGCAGAACAAGGACAGCGGACCTGGGCTCCACACCCATGCCCCTGGTGTGGCCTGAAAAGGAAGGTGTTTGTCCCTTGCCCTTGAGTTGTGGTGGGTTTGTGACAATAATACAATCTTGTGGAAATGATGCGTGTGACTTCCGAGGCCAGAGCATTACAGGCCACGGGGCTTCCTCCTTGTTCACCTAATGTCCCTCTCCAAGTACTGGAGTGCCACAGGGAGCCATGACGGAGAGGCCACATGGAGGCGCTCCGGCCAACAGTTCCAGACAAGCTGGTGATTTGGTCACTGCAGCCCGGACACCAGGCTTAAGGGCGGAGAAACCCTCTTGGGAGGGGGGTTTCCAGCACCAACGGCTCTAGCCCAGCTACTGGGGTCACTGTCAGCCATCTGGATTGTCCCCTCGCAGGCCCAGGTCCGGTGGCACAGCATTCCCTCAGTGCCCCTTCTAAACTCCTGACTCACAGACCCAGTGAGTAACGGAGAGTGGTCAATGGGTATGTCACAAAATTTGGAGGATTTGTTTTACAGCAATAAATAACCAAAATGGAATTAAGAGAATTTCGGGGAAGAGTGAATATCATAGAGACGGGAAAGCACAGTGGCGTACCTAATCCAGGATTTGGCCTGGGTCTTTCTGATTCTGCAGCCACTCCTTAGATATATTTTCACGTACACACCCTCCCCACGATCTCCAAACAGGGGCAAAGAAAAGTGAGGACCTTCCATGCCCTGGGTCTGCCGAGGAAGCTCTAGGGCAATGGTGGACATTAGGAACCAGAACAAATGTTTATTGCTCGCCTACTCTAGGTCAGATGCCGTGTCAGCGACGTGACACGTAATCTGTTAATTTCACAAATACTTTGTCACTACCGCGTGCCAGAAATGGGTCTGTGAAAGAAGCCATGTGCAAGACCATGCCCCAGTTCCCCTGGGCTTGCATGTGAGTGAGGCTGATGGACAGGAAACAAATAACGATAGCATAATATGTCAGATAGTGATCAGTGATATGGAGAAAAACAAAGCCCAGGATGGGGAAAGATGATGGCATTCTAGAGAGGCTGGTTAGTAAAGGGTTCCCCAAGAGGGTGGCACTGGAGGAGAGAGAGCAAGGTTAAATAGTAGACAGCAAATCTTGCTGACCTGGGAACCCACGGTTTAGACTCTGATATCAAGGAAAGAATACGTTGTTATCTTCCAGCTTATGAGCCTGCAACCTCCTACACAAGGTACATATGGAGACTGCCCTCCACGGGGTTCGGAGGACCCATGCCAAGGGTTCATCTCACTATGCCCACCCACCACTGGCCAGGTCTCCCCTCCGGACCCTCCAGCAGAGCCCCAAAAGGGGTACTTACGCAGAGCACGTGGAGAACTACCGCCCCCTGTCTTCGATCCTCATTGGTGAAGATGTCATTGGGGAATTCGTGCAGGGCTGAAGAACGGAAAGAGAAAACCAGCTCAGAACAAAGGATAATATTTTCGGCTCTGGAAGACTGGGACAGTCGCGCCTGTCCTTGTTTTAATGCAGAATCCATGAACTTGGATGAGAAAAAATTATATCTTTACATTCACACATCTCTACCTGGAATTTGGTGTTTCCTTCAGGTAAGAAAGTAGGCAATAAACCTCAGGAGTGTGAGAAGCACAAGAGACTCCGGCCCCATCAGATATGTTTTCATGATACGTTATACTATATGCCCACAGCAGCTCTTGCTCACCGCTGCAACATTGGGGGGCAGTTAGATCACCCCTTGTGATTTATAGTGTTCATGAGAGCAGAGGTCTGTAGGCTTCCCTGCATTACCAAGGGGGTCCATGGGACACACAGGGTTAAGATCCCTGCCCTAAACTATCCATCCTTTCCCACAGGACTGTCTTGGCTTGGGGCCTCGGGCCTGGTGCAACACCTTCCCTGGTCTTTCTTACCCTTTCTGAATTTGACCCACATTTGCCACCCCTGAAATGGACTATCAAGCACAGAGCTGCTCATGCCTGTCTCCCTGGTCCCAAGCCTTCCCTACTGGGCGATGAAAGCCCCAGTCTGTGCACCGGCAGTGCCAAGATGGTCCTGGCTGTTCCCTGCTAGAGCTTTCTTCTCTTCTCCCGCCCTTTTATACTTTGCATGTGCTCATTCACTTAGTTACTAACTCCCGAGCAGCTACTGTGTGCCAGGCCATGCTCTCACTGCTAGAAATTTGACAGTCAACATTGTTGCATGGGTGTCATATTCTTAACAGACAGGACCATTTGCTATTCCTTGAGCACACCTTGCATTTATTTGCTTTCTTTTTATGTCTTTATCTGCACAGATTATACCATCAGCCCGAGATATCCCCTTCTCCAAGTGATCTTCTCTCCCTGCCTTTCATAAAATCCCATCAGCTTCAAGGCCAGAGCCTTCATAAGGCCTCCTGTAGGACCCATGGCTCTCGTCTCTGGAAGACGCATCAGAGCAGGCTCTGTGGGAAGCTGTGCATGTTTCCCTGCTCTTGGCCCCATCTTTAGCAAATTTGGCCAGCTGATGAAAGCAGACTTTCTCTTGGAGCTCCACAAGCTCTCCGTCCATCTCCAGCACACAAGTGGGACAACTATCACCAGTGGACAGGGAGGATGTACAAGATGACACCTGCTTGCCACGTGTCTTGTTTTGGGTTTCCCCCAAAGCAGATCTTCAGTCAAGGATTTGGGGATACATAGCTTATTTGGAGGTGACTCCCAGACGCGCTATGAGCGAGGAAAGGGAGGAGACCAGGGAAGGAAGGGAGTCAAAGACAATAACATTGATGAGTGAGTGGGTGACCACACAGGACACCTGGGGTCCAGTCCCACTGCAGATCCGGGGAGACAGCACAGAACATGCTTCTGGTTTGCAGCTTGTTGGCCAGGCGGTTGGCCCAAGATGCAAGTCTCCGGCTATTCCTTGAAAAAGTTCTGCTCTCTCCTTCCAGGGCATCACCAGATAAAGACAACCGCGTAACTCTTTCCAGAGCCACAGCGGTGGTGATATGGCCTGAGGCTACATCCAGCATATGAAGCACAGATCACCTGTACATGTCACAGGTGTGATCACACATGCTAGTTTTGTCCTATTCTTTATGTGATGAAGTGGAGAAGACAAGGAAAGAGAGGGAGGTCATGATCTGCCCACACCCCTCCAAGTGGCTCTCCAAGCTGAAGCTATTCCAAACAGGCTGCACTGAGTCCTCCTGATCAATGGATGGGAAAAATGAGGGCAAGCCTGGAGGCTTTCACTTTGAAGACCAAATGACACGACAATCTGGAAATTACCAGAAGGGGACAAACATTCACAGAGTAAGGTTGAAATTTGTCCGTTAGGCCCTGGGCACTGCAAGGATTCCAGCCACTTTACTGAGGAGTCTCTGTTCTAGCGTCTTCCCTCTATGGGCCTAATGTTTCTGGCTGGTGTGCTCTTGTCCAGTAAGCAGAGCTAGCGGAGGCCTTCCAGCCTCCCTGGTGAGAAACCCTTCGACTTCCTCCTCCCTGAAACTTCCCTGCTGCCCACAGTATCCACAGAGGCTGGATCTGGGGAGACTTGGTATTTGCAGCCCCCCAGTCAATTCCTGCCTGTCCTTCTTCCACACCTCCTGGCTCTCCTTGTGCACACAGGATGTCTTACACTCTTAGGAGATGCTTTCTCACACTTCCTCCTTTGAACTTCTCTTTGAATTTGCCTGAATAAATTTTAGTCCAAATAACCATCCCATGGCTCTCACCTTGCCCTCCCCTCCCGAAGTTGTTCAGTGTGGATCAGGAACCAAGAGAAATGTCCTTTTCTGTCCACTTCCCAAACCCAGGACACTGATGTTCTCCATGGGTCACCCCCATGGTGGGGAATGGAGCAAAGGTAAGGAGAGGAAAGGCCCTGCTGGTGGGCTGGAAACCTTCCAGCCCTGGCTGGTCTCCATGTTCACCTGGACTTGTTCAGACCGCGCTGGAGGCTATGTCCTTGAATGAGGTGGGACCCACAGAGCCAAGTGCTGGCTCAGGAAGGGCTGAGGCGCTGTCCGAAGTCCTGGCCAAGCAGGCCACTGGCAAACTTCCTCATGAAATTGAACCTGGCTGGTCAGTGGCTGAGATAAGGGGTGGGTGTGATGGCGGGGGTGGAAAAAGCAGAGGAGAGGCAGTTAAGGATTCTCAGATCAGTCTGCTTCAAGAACAACAACAAAATTCTTATTTGGTGGTTCACAATAATGTGGAAAGAATGACCAGGTTCAGTATCCCCCAGCAAGCTACTGACGTGGATCCCACTCTACTTATTCCTTAGAGGTCCTTTGTGTAAACATGTATTGGGCTGGTGATGAAATTCTAACAATAATTTCAAAGAGCTAATGCACAATTTGCAAAGAAGAATACATATATTTTATTTCGCTCCTATAGAATCGTCTTTTGGTGAAAGTTACAAGAAAAGATTTTTTAAACATGAGCTGGAGTCCCTCTCCTCTTGCCCTCCAGGCAGTAAGCCCTCCTTCAGAGGTCCCACATGCCTATGTTTGAGGGTGGGTCCCTCAAGAGCAGACCTTGAGACAGAGATATGAATGCCAGCAGTTTATCTGGGAAGTGATATCTGGGAGGAGGGAGACAAATCAGAAAGGGGCTGAGACAGTAGGCTCAAATTTGCTGGGGCCCCTCTGAGAGATGGTGTAGAATATGCCTCAGTATTGTCCACAAATGCTCATCCATCACTGTTGAAGGCTGTCCTAAACACTTTAGGGCTAACCCTTAACACTCCTCATCTCTGCACTTGGCTAACTCGGTGTGTACGTGGGACCAGAGAAGGCCCCAGACAGAGTCACAGGTGCTTCAAGAAACCACCTGCATGTCTGTTGGCCATCTGAAAGATGGCTGCAATTCCTCTTCATTGCTCCCTCCTGTCTAATCTCAGAGTACGGTTAGTGCACAGAGCTGGTGTCTAATAAGTGTCAGCAGGATGAAGAATGCTAAAGGAATCCCCAGTCCTGGACACTGACTGGGGATGGAATATGCCCATCTTGTCCACCTGGCCCAAATGGTCAAGAAGAGGGCTGCCAGCAGCAGCTGCTTGCCTCCTTGAGCCCGAGCTAGCTCCCTACCTGACAGGTAGGCCCCAAATACACCTGAGAAATTGTGTTTTCAGAACAGCTACAGCTGTCCAAGATAACCTGTAAAGATACATTGTGGCATGCTGGACTAGAAGGTTCTTCCCAGTGCTTCTTGGCCTCAGTTTCCTCATCTACAAAACAAGGTAGGGCTGCTAGAGCCTCCTGCAGAGCTAATGGTAGTAATGCCATCCCATGTGTCTTCCATTTTTGGTGTGCTTCTTCACACCCAAATCCAAAGAACCGGGGGCATTTCTTGGCCAAGGTGGGAGCTGGATGGTTACCCATCTCTGGGAACTTGACACTGCCCTTGGGCTTTTGGTTAGATTTTGCATAAGGGCCCAACATGGAGCATCAGGCCTGGGTTTGGATCCCACCTATACCACTTATATAACTCATGGGTTATCTTATCCTCTCTCAGAGCCCTATTTCCTTCATCTGTAAAATGGGTGGGTGAATGCCAGCTTTGCGGGGTGGCTGGGGAGAGTGTAGGCAGAGTATGTAAAATGCCTCCCACCATCTTCCTAGGCCACTTATAATGAGTCTTCATAATTATAACAATGATGGGATGCTGGTCCGGCCTGGGGACAAGGACACATTCTTTTCTGGTCTTGGAGTTGAAATCCTCCTACTGCCAATTCCCACCTGCTTTGTGCTGGCATCTGTTTCTCCAGGACGGTGTTTAGTCTGAGAGAGCTGTGTGAATGCATGTACCTCTAGATATATGCTTCCCCTGTTCAGGCTGCGTTGGAGCCAAATGGCCCACGTGGTGTGCTGGGAACAGCTACACATCCAATGGAGGGTTCCCCCAAATACCTTCAAAATCCTCAAGTCTCTTTCTGCTCCTCTCGTTCTCTCCCCTAATTTTCCTTTTAATACATCTTGTCAGCTCAGGGGAGCCAGCAAAAGCAAGCAGTGCTGTTCCCATAGAAACCACAGAGCCCTGAACAGAGTGGATTCCCCTTACCAAGGCAACAGCAGTCAGCTGTCCTGCTTCTCCTGGCTGCTTTCCTGAGGCCTGAGTTTGATGAGTCCAAATGGAGGTTTGCAAGGGATAGAGAGTATTTTCTGTTTCATTTGGGGGAAAAATTGTAGCAGGGACAGTCATGGCATCTATAGGCATACTGATCTCATGTTGATTACATGGAGCCTCCCAAGATGTAGTTCCAAAAATTTAGCTACCTTAACACATTTGAACGAAAGGAATCTGACTGCTACAACCGTCACAACACTGGCCTTTCATCCCAGGGGCCTTCTTATAACAAAATACCTTGCACATTTTATTGACTTGTCTCTTGGGAGTTGCCCAAGAATTTAGGGTTGACACTGCCCAACT